TATGTAACTTTGTATGGATTCTGGTCATGTTTGTTTTATCCATTATTGATAGTAACATGCAATAGTGATAAACGATAACAATAGGCGCTATATCCAACGACAACAACAAGCAACGACGGAAAAAACATTTATTTCCATCACTGGTTTTATCATCACAATTCATAGACAAAAAGAAAAAGAAACTATAATGGTTTTTTTTTTTGTAAATTGCGGGAGTTTTGAACTTTGGTTTATAATATTTTTAGTACCAGAAAACAGTTTTTAGATATTCTAATTTAAAGAATAACTTTTTATTTTTTTTTTTACCTTAGAATAACTCTCCGTTCCAAAAATTTTTTGAATATGGAACGCACATGAGCGAACATCTTGTATCACCACAAAACCATCATCTCTTATGGTGTTACTCTGTTTTTTGGTAACTATAATGGGGTTACTTTTAATAGCTAATCATTATGTTTCGTAGTCAAATCATGATACTAAACTAGGGACGACGACACACAAAAAAATATTCCCAAGTATATCATCGGATGTTACGTTTGAGCGAGTGCTGCAAAATCCAAAAGAAAAACCAATATTCAAATATGTTACATTTGAACGAGTGCTGCAAAATCCAAAAGAAAAACCAATATTCAAATTTCATGAATATTTGAAAAATAGCTAAAAACTTTCTTATTTGTTTTTGCAAGAAATATACATATACGGTGTCAGATTATGTGATACCGACAGAATATACGCTTATACATATTTCAGATGGGCCAAAATGCATGCCCCTACTTTGATTAATTATTACAAATAACCATCTCTTCATTTTTAAAATATTCAAAATAGTATTTAATTTTACATTTGACAAGCTTCTCCTAATCAAAAGCCTATGAAAAAATAGTTGGGAAAGAAAAGCCTATGAAAATAAATAAAATAAAGATGTATTAAATCTTTATTTATATGGTTTCATGGATCCACTTTCTCTCAGCTATATATTTTACTGTTATATATAAAAAAAAAAACTATTTCCACTCTCTCTATTTCTTCTTCCCTCCTCAAGTCACAAAAACCAATCCAAACAAAACATAAAACACAACAGAGCCAAATCCTTAAACCGG